TGAACCTTCTGCCACCCTGTTCAGAAGCCCTGGGGGGCCACCTGGGGATTCTCTGGGCTTGCTGCAGCCTCCACAGAGCCGCCCCTCCTGCCACAGAGGTCTCCGCCTCAGGGTCCACCTGCTCCTGGGTGTCAGCAGCAGACAGTCTCCACACTCCAGGGCCCCTGTGGGGCTGGTGGCCTGTGTGTGGCACCTGCCTGTAGGCCAGAGAAGTTCCTGGGGATGTGGGGGGGGCCTCGCTGCCTGCAGAACCCTGGAAGACGCCTGGCCTTGGACTTCTTTCTCCACTGTGAGAAGTGCAGGTGCACAAGCTTGTCTGGCACTGGGATGGGGTTGCCTGGTACTCCCTGCTCGGACACCCTAAGGATTTCGGAGAGTTGGGCGGTGCCTCCTGACTTCTCACGCTCTCAGGGGTGTGTGTGTCTTAACACTGACCACCAGCTTGTCCTACCTGGTCAGCATCCAGTTCCAGGTCTCTGGGACCTCATGCCCAGGCAGGAGAGCTGGCACAGCCTGGAGGGAAAGTGGCAAATGTGAGCTGTTTGCTCCACGTGGACACGGAGTTTCCTGTATTCTTTTCTGATTCGGACAGAGGTGCACTCATCTGGTCCGGGGCTCGGCACTCGTACCTGAGGCCGCAGGGTCTGTGCCCTGTCTTGCCCAGCAGTGTCGCCAGCGAGCTCAGGACTGACCAGCCCAGCCTGCAAAAGTCTGAGTTCAGTGACTCTGGCCCTGTCCTGGCAGGGAGGGCTCGCCTCGTAGATGGCGCTGGTCAGTCTTGTCATCCGCATGGCCACAATGCCTCCCCGAATGAGGTGCTGGCACAGAGCCCCACAGGTGCACTCCCTCGACAGGCCAGGCTGCGGTTTGTGTTCCTCCAGTCCCCAAACCCTGTGTTTTTTTTGAGATAGGGTCTCATTCTCACCCAGGCTGGAGCACAGTGGCATGATCAGAGCTCACTACAGCCTCAACCTCCCAGGCTCAAGCCATTCTCCCACCTCAGCCTCCCAAGTAGCTAGGACTATAGGCGCACATTACCATAAGCTTTTGTAGAGACAAAGTCTCACTACATTGCCCAGGTTGGCCGTGAACTGGGCTCAGGTGATGCTCAGGTGATCCTCAGGTGATCCTCCTGCTTCTGCCCCCCAAAGTGTTGGGATAATTGTGAGCTACCATGCCTGGCCCAATCCCTGTCTTTCACTTTTTTCTCTGGCCACCATCAGGCCAAAGGTTGCAGGCAGGTTCTTAGGAACAGTGCCTGGGGGCACCTCCACCAGATTTCCCCACAACCCCGGAATGCATCCCAGAAGGGTCTTGCAAGCAGGAGCTGCTCTCTTGCCCCTTCCTCCTGTGAGCCCCCCACAGTGGCCATGACACAGGCCTGGCCCTTGGCAGGGTGGGGACTGAGCCCCAACTCCTGCTTCCTCCCAGTATTATGCAGAGTGTCACGGCGTCATCTACGTCATTGACTCCACCGACGAGGAGAGGTTGGCCGAGTCCAAGCAGGCGTTTGGTGAGTGCGGCCTGGCTGCTCTGGGGGGGTAGATGGTTAGTGGGGGCAGGTCCAGCTTGGGCAGCTCTGTACCTGGGGCTGGCTCAGTGTCTGCTCAGAAGCGCTCCTGCCTCGTGGGCAATGGGGGGCAGAGGGAGGAGCTGTCAGCGTCCACAGCTGTGGGCCCCAGGGCAGTCAGAGGCAGGATGCCGGGTGTGAGGTGCTGCCTCTCCTGCCCTCCCCAGAGAAGGTGGTGACCAGCGAGGCGCTGTGCGGTGTCCCTGTCTTGGTGCTGGCCAACAAGCAGGATGTGGAGGTGAGCTCCACCCCGTCTCCTGCAGCAGCTTCCCAAGTCCCCAGACTCCCCCACAGCAAGGGGAGCAGTGTGTGCACCCAGACACCCCAGGCCCAGGCCCAGTGACCGCCCAGGGGCACAGAGCCATTCTCAAGGCCTGCCCTGCCCCCGGCAGCTTCCCAAGCCTGGTTCCTCTCTGGACCTGCTGCTGCCAGCCCTGGAGGTTCTCCCACCTCGGGGCAGGCGCCCAGTAGGCCTCTTCCTGCCGTGCAGGGCACCTCTCCCCTGAAGGCGGCCGTGTCTCAGGAGCGTACGACTGAGCTGTGGGGAGACCCAGATGAAACTCAGAGCTCAAAAAGTGATGCTGGGGCCCTGGTGGGAGTCAGCTCTGACCCTCACTTGTTCCTGCTACCCTTGGAGGGGGCATCTGTGCCAGCCCCACCCCCAGGGCAGCCCCTCAAGACCCCTCTGAGGTGCTGCTGTCCCCTGGAGCACTGGCCACACTGAATTCTTGCCATCCTCTTGGAGTGGCTTCCACAGAAGCAGCGCGGCGTCCAGAGGGCCAGGGTGAATCTTTACCGCCCGCCTTCTCTGGGGCGGCTCTGTTGCCCCCAGCCTGTAGGGCTGGCCTCCCCCACAATCTCAGCCGACAAGAGGGCCACCTGGTGTGGGGCAGGGGTCTCCCCTCAGAGGAAAGGGGAGGGCTGCCCTTTTGAGGACTGGGCAGGTGGTTGTGAGCAGAAGTGAGCATGATTGCAGACTGCCCCCATCACCGACTCAGGGCTCCCCCCTACATCATCCCCAGCCATGTGGGCCCAACGCAGGGCTCCCACCCCTCCATTATTCCCAGCCGCGTGGGCCCCTGGGACCTGCCTCCACCACTGCCTAGGAGGCGTCAACCCTCGGTGCCCCACCTCGGGCCTCATGGTGTCCCCCAGGAAGGGGATGGGGGTGGACTCCTTGCAGCTGTGTGGACGTCTAACGTCTGTCCCAGGCACTACCAGCCACGTTCAGCCTCAGGGTGAGCGCAGGGTCCTCACCAATGTGGCCTCTGGGAGACACTGGGACCCTCACGGAGCTCTGCCTGTTTTCCTGGGGTGAAGGGCATACGCCCTTCTGAGAGTCCCGGGCCCACAGGCAGGACAGGGCCAGACGTGGGGGCTGCTCCTCATGGCTTTGCCTCCCCCAGACGTGCCTCTCAATCCCTGACATCAAGACGGCCTTCAGCGACTGCACCAGCAAGATCGGCAGGCGGGATTGCCTGACCCAGGCCTGCTCGGCCCTCACGGGGTGAGTGGAGCTGCACCTGCAGGGGCTTTGGGGACCAAGGCCAGCCCCCTCACACCCCCTGTCTTCACAGCAAAGGGGTGCGCGAGGGCATCGAGTGGATGGTGAAGTGTGTCGTGCGGAACGTGCACCGGCCGCCGCGGCAGAGGGACATCACGTAGGCGCGGCCGCACTGCCGTCGGGACGGCTGGTGCCCGGTGCTGGAGGAGTGGCCTGTTGGCTCCTGCTGGCTGCTCATCTGGGGGGTGGGTTTGCTTTGCTTTGGGGTTCTTCCATTTCCTTTGTTTTCTCGAAGACAAACTTTCCTCTACGTCTGGAAAAGTGTAGGCATCGGAGGTTTTGGAGGGGAGTCTGGACGCCCGGCTAGCGCCCTCTGGCGGCAGCCCTTCCACGGGGCGCTGCGGTGGCCTTTCTGGGCCCTTTCTGGGGGGGTCTGAGGGAGACCTGGTTGGGAATCGGGGCTCCAGTGCTCAGGCTGGCTTGGACTGCCTGGGGACAACCCTGTGGGGCCTTTGGGAGATTCCGTGGCTGCATGTCCACCCCATCGAGAAGGCGGCCAGTCAGCCATGGCTGCCCTCTGGCTTGTGCCCCACGACCCTGGAGGTGGTCTGGGGCTGATCTTGCCTTGAGGAAGACCCAGGCCACGTCCCCAAAGGCCAGCGGGGGCCCTGGATTCTGATGCAGCCTCAGGACAGAGCCGAGGATGCCTGTGAGGGAAGACATACACTCCGCACCTGAGCCTGACTTCGCCTCATCTTAATCCCCTGGGAGGGAGCTGATGCAAAAAAGCTGAGGGGGCCTCTGCTGGGAGTGGCTGTTTTTGTGCCCCAGCCCTGCAAGTTGGGGAGTGTTTGTGGGGGTCCAGAGCCCTCTCCTAGCCAGGAGAGAACCTCCTGGAGGGGTTCTCTGGCGGGCCCTGTGTCAGTGCTGTGCTGGGCCTGCATCCCCTGCTGGGGAGTGAGGCTGATCCTGGGGCCCTCCCTGCACAGCCCCCACTGGGCCTGCCGAGGGCTCTGTTCTTCCTCAGTCTGGCTGTGGGCAGGAGCCGCCTGCCCAGTGCTGCCCAGGGTGAGTGCAAAATAAAGACGGCAAGTGTGGCTCTGTCCATCCCTTCCCTCCTGGAGGGCCGAGGCTTGGCTCCTGGCTGTTGGACACGCTGACGGTGGCACTGGGCTGCTCAGGGGCTGGTGGGCAGGTGAGGGGCTCCCCAGGTGGGTCTGGAGCCTGGAGAGTCCAGGCACTCCCTTCTTGTGGATGTGGGAAGGACGTGGGGGGCCTGGGAGGAGCTGCTCGGAAGGGGCATGAGTCAGGGTGGGGGTGGCGCAGCAGCTGCGGGCTGTGACTCACGGGAGTCGGGCCCTGGAAGTCCCCACGTCGTCTCCAGGGGACCCTGTGTGTGTTTTGCAGGTTGGTTCCCAGGACCTAGGGGGCGGGGCCTCCAGCCACGGGAAACTGGCCACGCAGGGGAGTGTGGCCGGGACGGGCCCCCAGTTGCTCTGGATGCATCTGAAGGCTTCAGAGCCTGCCCCAAAGGGGAAAAGCTTCACTTCCCAGGAAGCATGGGAGGCCTGGAGGAGGTGTTTGGCAGGTCTCCTCTTGGGAAATCCCCTGTGAGTTGGGAGTGGGAGGAATTCAAAAGAGGGGGTTAGTGTGGGGCCCCGGCGACTGGGCCTGGCCTGAGCCCCGTCCTGTTCTTCGAGCAATGATACCCTCCCAGGCCTTGACCCTCCCTGAGCTTCAGGGCCCCCGCCACGTGCCACAGCCAACGGGAGCGTAGAGGAGGCACTCCCAGTGATCCTCCCTGGGAGGGTCTGAGGCAGGGGAAGCCCCGGGCAACAGTTCTGATGGCAGCCTGAGGGATCTGGGCACACCGGGCGGCTCAGGTGTCCGCAGCTGCCCTCCCAGTAGCTGTGCAACTACAACCAGTTTTATGAAAAGGCTTTATAAAAATAAGCTTTAAGAAACCTCATTTCTTCTATTAAAAAAGCCACTTTTAGTGCAAGTGGGGTGCCAAGGATGTAGAATAAATAAAGGGGGGAGAGGGGGCCGGGATCAGTGCCCAGGGAGGAAGCGCTCACGGACGCTCCGCTCCAGCCCGGGCATCCTGGCCATGCGCAGTGCCTGCAGCAGCCGCACCAGAAGTGCCCCGTCCGGCGCCTCCAGGAGCTCCGTGAGCCGCTGATGCAGCTTCAGCCGCAAGGCCGCGCGGCCCGCCCTTGGTGTTGGACCCCAGCCCCCCGGGGCCTCAAGGGCCTGCAGCAGCCGCTGCAACCTCTTGATGGAGATATCCTGGAAAGCCACGAAGTCGATGGCGGCACGCTTGCACTCCTCAGCTCCTGCAGTGGGTGGGGAGGCAGCAGTCCCCTCATTTCACCCACAGACACTGGTGGGGGCCTGCCGAGTACCCTGTTTTCTGGGCCCCACCCAGGGGGTTTGCAGGAGAGAAATCCCTGTACAGTGAGCCGTGCTGGAGAGGGCAGTGCAAGGGTGGGGACCGGAGAAGGGGCAGGAGCCTTCAGTCAGCGCGGTGGAGCAAAGGTGTGGGGGCAGGAGTGGCCACTCGGAGTTTGGCTGGGAGAGGCAAAGGGGCCCAGGCAGGATCTTAGGGCTCCTGGGCCACTGGAAGGGGCTGGTTGGGACCTGCAGATGGACCGAACCTGACTTGATGTTAACCACTGTGACTTCTCAACAGTGGCTAACATCGGGCCTCAGTTTCCCCATGTCAGAGGGGCCAGCCACCTTCCTTTCGGGCTGTTAGGAGAGTTAACATCGGGCCTCAGTTTCCCCATGTCACAGGAGGCAGCCACCTTCCTCTCGGGTAGTTAGGAGAGTGCTGCCCACCTTCCCAAGGCTCCCCAGGGGAGGCTGTGCCCTGGCTCGGATCCTAATCCTCAGCCACCCCTAAGGGGGCAGACTTGGTGGGGATCTAGAGGAGGGACCCCTGACCCCTCAAATCCACTGTGGCCCCTTCCCCGAGGCCAGCTGGCATGCTTCAGGCTAGATGCATGTGTAGGGGCTGGAGTGAGGGCACAAGTGGGCCTGGCCTGCAGCGTGCTGCTCCCTCAGTCCTCTGGCTCACCTGGTGCCCTGGTGCTGAGGGGGAAGGCAGTGCAGCTGGTGCACAGGGCATCGTGGGAGGAAGAGCCTGGCACATTGAGGGCCAGGCCCAGGGCCGTGCAGTTACGGTGGGGCTGGCACTGCTCTGAGCTGGAGCTGCTGGCTGAGAAGGTGCCTGGGGGGCACGGCTGGCACTGCGTGTTCTGGCTGGGGGTGCCTGCAGCCGGGAGGGAAGAACAGCGTCAGGGGAACTGGTGTTCTAGCTCAGGGTGCAAGCCTGGGACCAGCAACCTGACCCCTGCCACACCTCCGACCACCACTCCTGGGGGCCCTTCCCCTCGCCCGGCTCTCACCCGGGGCCATCACGCCGGCACCAGGTGGACACGACGCATGCTCCAGGCAGAAACCAGCGAGCGCGAAGAAGCCGGCGCGGCAGCGGCAGGCGCGGTTGTGGGTGGCGTGGCAAGGCCGTGCCTCTTCCTCGTGCTCCCCACAGAGGACGTTGCAGTAGCGGCAGCGCTCCAGGTAGTTCCAGAACTGCGTGTAGTGGCGTGGAGGACACGGGCCACACGTCGTGGGGCTGTCTCGGCGGCAGGGCTGCTGCACGAAGGTGCCTGGGGGGCACTGGGCACACACCAGCCACTCCCCTGTGTCTGTGTCCCGCCAGGGGTAAGTGGGTGCCTCTGTCGCTCCACACATGGCCAGCACCAGCAGCAGGGCGGGCAGCGCCCACACCAGGCACAGCCGCAGCAGGCCCGGTCCCTCCAGCGCCCTCATGGTCCTTGCTGGAGCAGGGAGTGTGGCTCAGCGCGGACACCGGATCCTGCTGTGCCTGACCAACATGCCACCGCCTCCGCCCTCAGTCCGCCTTCGGAGGGACTGCCCAATCCCCAAGCCCCTCCTGCTGCCGCCCTATATGGGCAGGGAGAGGGCTGGGCCAGCCTCACCATGCCCCATAGGAACTCCTCCCTCCCCAGGCAGCCCCCTCACCCACCTGGTACCATCCCTCCCCAGAGCTCAGTCCAAGGGTGGTTCTGTGAGGGGCTTCACCAGCCAGGGAACCCAGGGAACTGCCCCCCCTCAGCACCTGGGGCAGCTCCTGACCCACCAACCAGCCCAGGCAGCTGGTGTATTGGTGGATCCCCCCGCAGTTGCAGCCTGGCTGCAGCAGTGAGGATGAGGGCAGGGCTGAGCCCACTGTGGAGGAAGTAGCGTCAGAAGGCAGGCTACGAGCGGGGGCCTGTGCCAACTCCCTGTCTCCTCGACTCCCACCACCAAGCCCAGGCCACGAAGACACCGTCCAGGGCACTGCCAGCACTTTTATTAGAGAACCCTGTCGCCTGACGAAAAGCGGACACATGCCCACGGGGGTCTCCTTCCTGGTGAGGGGCTCAGCTGGGATGCCTGTGGCACCACTCACAGGCCAGGAGCCAGGGAAGTTCTGGAGAAGCACTTTCCCAGAGACCCACCCCAGACCCCAACGTAGCTCAGGGCTTCTCAGAGGGAGGCCCAGATCCGGTCCCACCGCAGTGGGGCAGGCAGGCAGGCATGGGCTGGCCTATTCTGTTGCGTGGTTCCTTGGCCCACCAGAGCTGGACAAGCATGTGATCAAGCCACGTTGGGTGTGCTGAGGGCCTCCGTGGGCACTCACTGGGGCTCTGGCCAGAAGACCTGCATGACGCTCTGCTTCCTGGAGGCGGTGTGGCAGGATGGGCACGTCCTAGAGGCCTGTGAGACAACCGGCCCACTGGACGCACCTGCCAGGCGTTGCCACCAGCCCACCACCTGGGGCTACACCCCACCCTTTCCCCCTCAGCCCACCACCTGGGGCTACACCCAGCAGGAACTGTAGTGGCCAGGCACCAACCTGAAGGTGCCGTTGCCAACAGGCTTGGCAGCGCTGGAAGTCACAGGCAGGGCACTGGAAGGGCACCACGTCCTCTGCCCCACAGCCCTGGCACACACAGCCTGCTGAGAGGGGCCCGCTCGGAGCTCCCGCAGCCTGCTGCCCAGCGAGGTCTCTCCCAGGAGGCTCACCCCACTCAGATGCTGCAGGCCCGTGTGGAGGTCCTGGGGACTGGCTGGGCCCTGCAGCCTCACTGCCTGCCCCCGCAGTCCCTGCTGGCCTCTGTCTAAGGAAGGTTGAGATCTTGCTCTGGGTCTTTCCGGGCTTCTCGGACCGTGAGGGGCCTGGAGACGGAGACTGAGTCTGAGCGGGGCCGGGGGCTTTGCTGCTCACTCCCAGGGCTATGTGCCGTTGGGGCACTGTCAGAAGCAGCCAGGCAGGCGCCCTACCTGGTTGGGGAGCCCTGTGGGTGAGCACAGGAGGCACGGCAAGACTCTCCTCCTGGGGTCCTGGTGGCTCCATGCCCGGGGAGGGTCTGCCGGTCAGGTCTGTGCACGTCTGTGAGAAGCGCTGCTTGTGGTGTGGACGCACAAACATGCTGAACCCTGCGGGGAGCTTCACTCAGACCCGGCACAGCCCCCACCCTGCCCCCTGCCCCCACCCCACCCCACTGGCTGTCCCCACGCCCAGGCCACTTGCTCTGCAGCAGGGGGAAGTCCTCCGGCTTTGCAGTGGTCAGGGCGGCCAGCACGGCCAGCACCTTATCGAGGTCATCGTCTTGCTTGTAGGCTGTCAGCGCTGCCAAGAGCTGGCTACAGCCTGCAGACCCCAGGGCCCTGCGGGCATCTGCCAGGTAGGCGCTCACGGCGCGCTGGCCCTGCTTCCCTGCTCTGGGCACTCTGGACCCCTGCTGTGGGTGGCTGCCAGGGTCTCCTGGTGTGGGAGTAGCATGGCTCAGAGTGGCACTGGGGCGGAGGGCTGAGAGTCCCACCACCCTGCCTGCCCTTCCTCCCACGAACTCCTGGAGAGCTGCTCAGGACAACTGTGGGGTACAGAACCGGGAGCAGCCCCCACCAGGAGATGGCTCCCCACAGGGGCAGCTCCACTGGCACCTCCGGTTCAAAGGCTCAAGCCACACTCAAGTGTTAGCCTCATCAAGCCACTGAGGAACCCACCAAGTCACAGGCTGCACACAGGTCAGGACTCAGCTACCTGTGGGGGGTGGCCTGGGCGACAGGTGGGGCCTGCCCTGATTCAGGTGCTCTCGGGGGTCCAGCTGCTGGGCTGCAGCCTTGGACACGGTCAGCTTGGGATCCGGCGCTGTCCTTCCTGATGAAGAGATGCAGAGCCACAAAGCTGGTCCTGAGCACCTGGAAAGTTCCCCAGCGGGAGGGGGAAGGGCTGGCTGGGGAGGCCAGGCCTCACCCACCTCGAACCAGGGCGGGAAAACCCAGGCAGGCACACGTGCCCAGGTGCCAGGGGCAGCAGAGGAGACACCAACTGCTGGATGGGGGCTAGAACAGTGGCCGGCAGGCCAAAGCCCTGCTCAGGAACTCAGAGCCCCAGGGTGGGTACCAAGCCCAGAAGGGGTCTGGGGTCTTCCCAACAGGTTAGGTTCCCCGCTGGGTGAACCCTGCACTGGGGGAGCTCTATGGGGGCTGTTCGTTAACAAGCACGAACACACACTCCCACCTCCGGAGGCTTGGACTCCACCCTAGGCAAAGGCAGAAGTAGGGAGGATGGGAGGACAGGGGTCTAGGAGTCTAGGACCCTGGCGTGTGCAGTGGACTCCCCAGGGCTGTGCATGGGGGGCAGGGGACACGTGCGGCAGCTGGACAGGGCTGTGTGTAGGGATCAGGGGCTGTGGGAAGGGCAGGGCCCTGCGTGGAGTTGCACAGGGTCTCCCCAACAAGTGATACTGCTGCTGGTGGTGGGGGGTGGCCCCCATCACTCCCATACGGGAACAGAGAGGCGGGGCCACGCAGGGCCCCAGGGATGCCCACCCCAACCAGCCCAGGACTCCGGTGCCTTCCACGGAGGAGTCTGAGGGTCCCACCCGAGGCCCCATTTACCAGTGGGGTCCAGGGCTGGCTGTGCAGGCTGCCTTCGGGGAACGCTGTGCTCCGGCCGGTAGCCGCAGCCCTGTCCTGTCAGCTGGATACAGACCTCCTCAAACTGCTCCTTGTGGTGAGGCCGCACAAACTGGTAGAAGCCTGTAGAAGAAGGGGTGTCTGTCCCCATCTGCCCCCTTTTCTCTAGAGAACAGAGACAACCTTGGACCCAGATGGCCCCCACCCCACACACAGCGGCAGCACTGCCCTCAGGATGGGCAGCCTCTGCAAGCCAGGGCACCTTGGAGCAGGCTGTGCTTCTTGGGGTCCTCAGCAAAGAGGGGGCCGAGACAGGCGGCCAGGGCGGCGAAGTCATCGGAACGCTTGTAGTCCTGCAGGGCCTGGGTGAAGGTGGCAAAGTTGGCTTGGCTCAGTTCCTGCTTCACAGCCACCATGAAGAGCTTGGCCCTGTCCATCTGTGCGCCAGCCACGGGCTCCTCCTGCAGGACACAGGCCCGAGGCTCCATCAAGGCCAGCCTCCTCATCCCGTCCCTGGGGCTGCAGAGCGTTGGAGCATTGAGTGTTCCCTGGGACAGTGATTGCTGACGGGGGGCTGCGGCCTGAGAAACTGGTTGGCTGGATGGACACGGAGGTGCTGCGGGAAGAAGCTGCGGGGCTGGGCCTGTCTGGGTCACACAGTGAGAGGCTGGCAGGGAACCGAGGGCAGCGAATGGGCAAAGGGTAGACTGGCTCTCCCTCAAGCCGGGGGTCCTGCAGGGCCCATCTCTCTCCTCCTCCCTAAAGCCCCCGCCCCACCGCGGATGCAGCTGAGGCTCCAGGATGGCAGCTCACAGGGAGGGGCTTCCCAACAAGCGGTGTCCATCTCTCCACACACCCCAGACCAACACGGAAACGTGGAAACCAAGGCAGGGGCAGCCCAGGCACTCCCCACCCAAGCACTCCCCACCCAGGCCCTCGACAGCCCAGGCCCCTCGGCAGCCGCCCACTTCCTGATGGCAGCAGCCCTGCCTGGGCACCACCCAGTTCTTCCCAGAAGCCAAGGGACATGGACAAAGGCTGCCACACTTGGGGCTTTCCAGCAGGCAGGGGGCTTCCTGGCTCCGACTGTAACTCGGTTCTTTCATCCAAGGCTGGGAATGGGCTCGCCCCTCGCATGAGGCAGGTGCACATCCACACTTGAGGGAAATGCCAGGGCCAAACCCAGTGCTGCAGCCCCCAAACCAAGCCTGCCCAAGGGCGGGGCCTGATCCCAGCTGCCCTTGAGCCCCTGGGCCAACAGCTTCACAGCCGCCCTGGACATCAGCTCCAGGGGGTAACTTCCCTGGTCCCATCGGGCCCACATCCCAACTTGGCTGGGGGCACCCAGGGCCGGGTTCCCACACGTGTCTATGGTGGTCGGCACAGGTGCAGGGACAGCTCACGCACCAGGTGGCTGACCAGCCGGATCTTCTTCCTCCCTCCTCGCGGCTCCTCTGCCGGCCTCTTCTCAGCCAGGAGGGACAGGGTGGAGCAGCTGTGGGCCTGAGGAGGACACAGCTGTGGTTCCAACCACACACTCCAGAGCCCCAAAGCACCTGGGCCCACAGGGAAGATGGCCCCAAGGAGCCCTGAGCAGCAGCCAAGACGAAGGTCGGGGGAGGGGGCACGGCACACCCTGGTGACAGTCCCACAGCTTGGTCCTGTCCAAGTCACGCCAGCGGCTCATGAGGCTCACAGGTGGTGACACGTAAGAGCAGGTCCAGGAAGGACAGTCTGACAACAGCGAAGGGCTGGCAGGAAGGGGACACAGGTGCCTGGTGCCTGCACCTGGGGCTCACTCCAGGAGCCTGAAGGGCAGGGACAGGCAGCAAGAGGAGAATGGCTCCCAGCAGGAAGCAGGGAGAAAGCTTCAGGTTGGCCTGAGAAATTATGGGCTTCTGGGGCAAAAGGCCCCAAGGAAGAAGGAACCTGGGTCCCAACCGCAGCACATTCCTGGAGAAAGGCCAGCCTCAGGCACAGCCAGGGGCAGGGGCACCCAATCTTGAGTGCCCTGAGCCAAGCTGACCTGCCAGAGAATCAAAGTGATGTGGGGGCACCCACTGAGGGCCAGGGCACGCACCACCTGGGAGCCAGCAGCCTGTGGGTGAGGCGAGGTGGAGGGCACACACATAGCCAGGCAGCGGGGATCCCTCACCTGCCTGCCCGCCCAACAGACAGGGGATTTACAGGGGTGTGTGGGGAGGTGCCTGAAGTCAGATGGGCGGGGTGGGGTTGGCCTCA